AAGCACCAGCTGTAACATCAGCCTTGGGATACAGCTGGGGCTTCCGAAAAGCCTCACTGAGCTGAGCTGGAGGGCAGTACCTGGCTCTACAGCTTCAGCCGAGGGCTTGTGCCTGCCTGAGGGTGATGGGAAGAAGATGCTGGATCCTCTGCAGTTGATCCATGGCTTCTCCTATGCTGCTGGGAGAGGACCTGCAGTGACTGTCCCTCTGCACCGAGGACGGCACAGGGCAAAGCCCCAGTCTCCCCTTTTGCCCTCCCTGCTATCAAGACAAAAAGCCCTCCTCCATCTGCAGAGAGGAACGGGCTCACTTTCTTGTTTCAGGAGAAAATACTCCGTCTGGTATCCCGGCTGTGACACAGACCTTGGAGGAAGCCAAACATACAGAGTGACAGTGAAGTGGTAAAACTGCCTTCTGCAAAAAGCACCGTGGCTCCTGCCACCCCAGCGGGCTGTATCACTGCGTGATTAAGTTCTTACCAGACTTTTTGGTAAAGGCAACCCTCCTGATCTGATAACTGCCAAGGACAAGCCAAATACGCAGGGTCAATCTATGCACATTTAATCCCCAGAAGGCAGATTAAGCGTATAATTGACCCATATAATCCATGTATCATCTCCAGTGAAATGTTTTCTGTGTCCGGTTTAGGCAGACATGAGGCCCATAAGAAAGCGATCAGAGGCACAGTATTACCATCGCTGTGGATTTCATCAAAGTTCGAGATGGCTTTTTAATCACTGATCTCAGAGACTGCTAGATTTAAGCAGATGAACTCGCACTAAGCACATCTGGTTTAAATCCTTATCTTCTACTCAGGCTGGTGTCTTCAAGAAGTACAAGGAGGAGAAAAATAAATTGATTTTTTTAGGTCTTTGCAATCTTCGGAGCCTCTCGGGGTGTTTTGATCTCTCATATCAAAAGCATGTTTTTGTTGGTTTTTTTTTTTTTCCAGTAAGATATTGAATTAATCATCAGAGAGAAAAATGCCATCTGCGCTATTTAAGGGACTGCATCAGGATGCTGGAATTCGCAGGATCTCGGGGAGCTCACTCGATGCTCAGTAGCCTTTTGTGTACGTGCTACTCGCCTGCGGCTGGGGAGGAAACATTCTCACTATGTTTTACATTAGTGTTTACCAATTTATGAGGAAGAAAGGTTGGCACTCGCACTATCTACTAGTCAATCATAGGCTTTCTGGATCACATATGTTCTGATGGGCTGAAGCCTATACTGTGAGCATCTAAGGGCGTGTGTAAAGATATACACACATACACACATGTATAAATAACATCCACCAAAGGGGACAACTCTTACAAATGAAACTCCCACTGCCTTCAGACAAAAATTACAGATATATAAACTCAAATCCTGCGAAATTCTGAGTGTCCCGAGCCAAAGGGGACCTGAATTTTGCAGGATTTGTCTTAAGACCTGAGATCACACTGAAGATACTTTCCCATGTTTAAGATACACCTGCCTGCCTCTGCCACATTGTTCCTATAAACAGTCACATCCTGCATGTCAACTTCTCCCCTTTCCAGGGAAAAAGCAATAAGATCATACTTTCTATCAGGCACTACACAGAGTTTGTGATCCTTCTGCATTGTGTGTGAAGTATTACAGGAGTTTAAATCCCAAAGCATCCAGCCACGCACAGGAACACAAGGAAGGGATGCTACGATGCTGTTCTGGAACTATTCTGTTACCACTGCTCTCTACCAATGGGCCTTATTACAGTGTTTTAGCTTTAAATGTTATCAAATTAGTGAGCCAGGCCAAGTAAATAAGTCATGTTACTCTGCAGTAAACAGCACTGCCAAAAAGCTAGTTAGGTTTTGATTACCAGCAGAACTCCACGATCAATCTGTTCGTACAATGATCCCAAGAATACAGATTTTTAAAATGAAGATGACTCTATTTCGGGGAGGAGGGGGGTTGGACCTGACTAATTTGCAGAATTAAGAGGATTAACACACAGACCACAGAGAAATATTGCAATAATCATCTGAAAACAAAGAGCGTAGCTCTGTTCTGCAGGTGTGGGTAGAGCATGCGACGCAGGGGAAGAGAGGTGGTTTCTGAGCTAAGAAATCATGGCAAATGAAAGAAAGACATATTAACCCAGCTTCTGTTGGGAGATGGCTTTACGCACTCTGCAACCTCTGCTCCTGGGAGGAAGCAAAGGGGAAATACACGGAAATGGATTTAGAGAAACAGGGGGATTAGGAATATCCTGGGAGCTGCGAACCCCACTGAGCGTGCAACAGGCAACCTTGGCACCGCGCACCTCTGCTCTTGCACTACTCACAGCTGCACCCTATACTGTGTCTTTAATGTGATCCCACCGAGAGCGGAGGAACTGCCTGCAGGCAGATTTAAGCTGTTTACCTACCACCACTGCACGTATTACTATATAACATCCTAAAAGTGGACTAAGCTCTTGGCTGGGGTAAACCAGCATCATTGCACTAAGCCAGCAAAGGAGCTGGCCTTGAAAGTGTTAATAATCTCATTGCCTGGAGAAACTCCACAGCTAAGAGGATTGCTCCTCTGCCATGCTGGCGGAAGCAAGAACAAAATGAGGTCCAAATCTAAGTCAGCATCATAAATACAATTTTTCATTATTCCTCTTCTCTTTCATATTAAAAAGGTAGTGAGCACCTAAAATGTCCTAAAATACAATCATCAGTGCAGAGACCAAACGAGCTTAAAACCCTGTGGCCTTGCTGCTTCGCTGCATCAGGTAAGGGGGCAAAGGGCTGAGCTCGGCACACAGACCTTGCTCCTGTCTTTACCAAGACATTGTGAACACAGCACTGATTTAAATGGGGTCTGGGTCCAGGTGACCCCCACAGACTCGTAACCCCCCCTGCTACGGACCCACCTGCAGCACCTCAGCCATGCTTACAGCTGACTTCAGGAGCAAGCAGCTCCTTCAGCTGCAACCTGGCAAAGACAATATGTGACTACTCAATAGGTAATTCCAGTTTCTGGGTGGATGCGGCTCGGCGCATCCCCCTCCCTCCCAATGAACCAAGGGCCCCGCAGCTCGCGGGCGCACACTCACGTACACGACACACGTGCGAAGATGCTGGCAGCATCGGGTCCCAGTGCCATCCTGCTGGTGCGGGGAATGGGAATGGGCACAGGAATGGGAACAGGAACAGGAATGGGAACAGCTCCCACATGCTGCAGCTCCTGCTTGTAGCTGGCATGGGTCAAAACAGGCAGAGCAATGCAAAAACTCTACCCTTGATTATCTTATTCCACATGAATCAAAGAGACTCGAGGAAGGCAGGGAGGGAAAATAAGGTTTTGCACTTTCCACCAAGGTAGATGCTCTTTTTTTTTTTTTACTTCCATGTCAACTGTTAATTTGTTTAAAATATGGGTTGGTAAAACTAAATACGAGCAAACCAAACCAAAATCAATATTTGTGCTAATTACAGCCTTTTGAAAATTGGAAACAATGGCCCAAAGGGTCCAAACACACCAACTGTGAATCATAGGGAAAGGATGAGGGAAAAAAGGCAGTGTGGGCATTGAAAAGAACAGTCCAGATGAGCTCTGGAAATTTAGCTGCTCGTGGAATAAATTTGAACACAAGCGAGCGATGCACTCGCGGGCCCGCTGCAGATGGAAGCGACAGGCTTTTGTTTTATGTTTTGTTTTTTCTCCCCATGCCTGCTTGATGGGTGATTTGCGTCTGGTGCTCTGCGCTGCAAACTCTCCCCGGAGCGAGCCGCCCGGAGGAGGCACTGCTGTGCTCTCCGTGCATGAATGAGGCATTCTCAGTGGAGATGGGTCATGCTAGTAGATGTACACAGCAAGATTATTTGACTCTAATTCATGCCACTTGATATAATGTGATAAAACATTTGACATGAGAGATAAGTTCCATTTTAATCCAGTAAGGTGCAGGGGAAAGAAAGAGTGGGAATTGAAAAGGAGGAAGAGGTTTCTAAGGGATAGGTAATGCACACAAAAGAGAGGTATTGAGTGAAGGAGGAGGTTGGTTGGGGAAAAAAGCAGCTTTCCCTGCACACTGAGGAAGCAAAAGAGCGAGTAAAGAAAGCAAGGAAGGTTGTTACAGTTCCAGAGCTGGGAGACTGAGAAATGGCACTGCTGAGAGATGAAAGGAAGGAAAGTAGGGACAGGAGCTGCTTCAAACAGAAATTGATATATGGACAAATACCCTAAAGAGGACTGCAACACTAATGCTACAGGCTGGCCGTCAACATAAAACCTTCTCTATAGAACAGCTACGAGGACAGAAAGGCTATAATGCAACAAGAGCAACAGAAACAGAGGTACTGGTTAACATGCATCTAAATCCAAAACAAATGGGCATCACAGGTCACTGTTCTCTTACAGTCCAATGAATTTATCCAGTGCAACAGAAAAATAGCTCTGAACATCTAGGTCAGTTCCCACCATGCCATCTTCATCAAGCAGACCATGTCTCAACTTTACCTTTGGTGTCAAACACCACAACATGGTCCTCCTGAACTATGCAAGTCCATTCCTAATCAGCTCTGATTTGGTCAGCTTTTAAAATCAAAATTTAGTGTGCTCAATTTGCTGTCAGTTTTGGAGTGCTTGTCAATGAAACGCGCTGCAAAATGTGCAGAAGAGATGGCCCTTAGCAAATGCATCTGCCAAAAACCCGGCTCAAATTTTAACAGTGAGAACAATGACTAAGATGTTCTGCCACAGAGAGATTTTCCACAAGCTTAAATATAGTAAAGGGCTCTCTCAGAAGATGCTGTTCCCTTAAAATCCACGCACAGACAGACCAAGACACAGTAGACTAGAGTAGAGATTTAAAGCAGGCAGAGAGCAGATACGAGCCTTAGTCAGAAAGAAAGGGAAGATTTATTTATTTTTTAAAGCTATAACCATTAAATTTTCTCAAAATGTGACTTATCCTCCTGTCTTATTTTGTCACATTTTGGGTCTCTCCTGCTTGGTGTCCAAGGAGGAGAAGGCATTTACTTACATCAAATAACCTTTCTATATACATCTCCTCATTGACCTTATCACGCAGGACATCCTGAGAGTGGCGGACAAATGTCACATAGGCATCAGCAACATCCATCCCCGGCTTCTGCATGGAGGAGAGAAGAGAGAAAGAGAGAGAAACGTGAGTAGCGGCGCAGGGGCAGCTCCTCTGTGTAGCCTTGTTGCTGCTTTTCCTTCTCCTCTATCTCCTGCTGTCCTCATGCAGTTCACCCTTTCCTTACCTGACGGGCCCCGAGACCTGCTGCTTTGTGCCCCATGCCCAGCAAAATACTGCGAGCAGCACAAGATCATGCAGGGACACTTGCTCTTTCTCTTCTTTTTGCCTAGAGCAAAGGTGGTCAAAGGAATAAAGCTCTTCCTCAACACACTGACGCTGGGAAGTTGTCTTCCTACCTCTGGTGCTGTTGACCTAACGAGTGAACCAGCAAGCCAGGCTGAGGATTTGTTGTTTTCTTGGGTCATCTTCGCTATGTGAACCCTCTGGTTTCTGAAGGTAGAGAGCTAACAGCCACTGCTAGGCTCTTGGTTCTTCTTCTATGGTGTGAGGATGCATGCAGTAAGCAGTTGGTGTTGCAGAAGGCATCCCAAAATCACCTTTCTTTTTCTGTTTAGAGCCCTGACTTTAGCTCAGATTTAGTGCTGCTTTTAAGAATAAATTGGGTAAATGGTAAGTAAGGGAATGTATGTCTACAAGAATGCTTAAGAAGCTGCTGCTAAACTGCAGAAAGCCTGTTGTGCTACCACATCCCTACAGCTCTCTGCAGAATTTAACTGATTTTAAACAACAACCTAAAAGTGTGCAAGATTTTGGGGATTACAGCATTTCTTTCAAGAAAATGGGAACTGAAGCAGGTGGATGGGAGAACACTTACAGGAAAAACAAATCCTGTTTGAGTTCACATTGCTTGATATACTGGAATCAAACTTACCTCAAAGGAAACCCATTAAAACACTGTAACACGAGTCATTACAAGAGCTGCCACAAAACCTTAAATTTCCATGGCACATTGTAAGTTTGTTAATAACTAGTGTCATTAGTTTCCATTACTGTGATTTACCTCAGATCACAGAGTATCATTTCTCTGCAAGATACAATTGTCAGCCGCTGTAAATTGAAGTTAGTTAACACATCTGTGTAATTTCCAGGGTGAAAATGAGGACAGTTTGGAAAGCAGTAGGAAGGGAGTTTTTTAATACAAAGCAAACAATTATCAAGCAAAGGGCCAGTGCTTGGCCCTTGGGAAGCCAGTAGCATTTCTTAACACCTACTGCAACAATGACAAGGTATTAATTTGAAAAACAATGAGGACAACACGAATGTGGCAGTAGTCAAGCGTTACACTTTCAAGCAATTTTCAGTATGCCGAGCGTGCCCGTTTCGAGGTGGCATTAAATGGATTGATTTGTACCCAAGCAATTGCAATGGCATTTGTAGATACAGCTTTAACTGATGCTTTTCTGTTCAACACCAGCATTTCCCCTCTGTCCTCTAGTCAAACGGGCTTTTCTTTCTCCTATCCCCAGACAGGCAGTGGCTCATGGACTATGGGGTGGCCTCTGCAAAGGTCTGGGAGCTGTGTGGGGCTGGTGGTTGACTTTATTAGAAATGTTAAGGCTGTCAAAGAAGCCACTGAAATGTGGCTTTGTTTCCAGGGGCAGGTGGGGAAACAACTGAAAAATAACCCAGATGAATGATTTCTGCTCTATTTTATACGAAGAACCAGAGCATCTGACTGGCTCCAAGGATGGGAGCACACTCTGCTTCTCCTGCTGTGGGTTTTGGAAACCCTTGAAAGGGTCATACAGCATTGTACTGAGACTACTTCCCTGGAGGTGCTTTACTTTCCAGGAATGTAGAGGCTTCAGAGAAGGCCACGCTTTGCCCTAAAACTTACTTAAAACAACTGTTCTGTGCTCGAATTCCTGATGACCAAACATTTAAGGTGCACTCAAACAACTAGGGATTTCAACTGAAGGATCTCCACATTTTCTAGGGCTAGATACGAATTCTGAGTCTCTCTTCCTAATGCTCTCAGTATCTTGTTTCCATTACTCCAAAACAACAGGATGCCAATCTCTGCACTGGGATATTTTAAACCAAACAAGACCTCTTATTGTTCGAGAGTTTGTCTTTTCCATGCTGAGCTCAAGAAATGGTACTTTTGTGGGCAAGGTTTATCTTGGGCTAACAGGATGGAAACACCAAATGCAGACAATGTGGTCCAAGATGTGTGATAAATTTATCACCTTGTCATGTGAAAGCATGAAGAGCAGTTGCATCCATATTTGATGTACATATATATATATATATATATACACACATTATACATACAGGTCATCAAACTCAACTGAGTTATTCTTCATTTACTCTGCCCAGTCTAACCGGGATGCAGGAACTGGTATGTTAAGATCTGCTCCTTTTATTTCATTTGTAATTGCTCAGGATCTTTCTGCCTGTAAATGTTACAGTAACCTCTCACACCAGCCAATATTCATATATTACACTTCAACTCCATTTAAATGTAAATTTCTGGCAAGTTAAGTGCTCTGTCTAAGAACGTTAAGGGCTCTTTTCCTTACGAATCAAGGTCTAATTAGAGGAGACGATGTACAGTTTTCCTCTACCAATTACAGGAAAATGGAAGAAATTATTTTCATTAACAATTTCCCAAACACATGTTGCTAGCTCATCACCATCTCCCCAAAGTCATAAAAAAGTCATTTTCCGAAAGAGTAAAATAAACTAACAATTAGAAGAACAAAAATAAAATAGATTAGCTAATGTGTTAGATGTGTGTTGGCTCAGTTCTAACATGTCTGGACCTTTTTGTTTGGAAATTATACTGTATTTGTACAAGTCCAAATGAAGAATTAACAGAATGCACTGCTCCCTTTTTTTTTTTTAATTTTAAATGTGATTCAAGCCAATTGCAGAAATATGGTACCTTTTTGACACCATCTGCAAATTATTGCCTAAACAGCCTCATAGGTCTCCATGAGAGGGTAACTGCTCATTATTAACGTCATGGAGATATTCTTTCCAGTTCAAATGTTAGAAGTGTGAAGGCCCATGGCTCACTCTTGGCTGTTAATGCATAACGTGGGTTGCTACACATGCCATAAACCAAAGCATGATGCAAATTACTATGACAGAAGTTGTTTAAATTGTGCTTACGGGTACATCCACGTATTTGGAAGCAGCCTTCACCTGTAAAAGGAACAAGAAGAGAGTTTACACCACCAATACGTTTTCAGGTCTTTGCTTTATCATTAAGCACCTGTAAGGCCTCCAGCAGCCAAGACTTGGGACAAAACAATGCTGAGTGGGAGAAAATGGGTGATAAAAAACTATGCTTCTCATCTAAAAGAATAGGCAAGGGTGGTATTTTTGTTGTTGTTTTTTTTGGAGAGGTAACTTTACTGCTGCTAAAGCTCTAATAGCAACAGATGATAGTGTGGGAGTTGTGCTTCTCCCTCTTCTACTTCAGTGAGCGGGGGAAGACGGGGTTCGTAAGTAGACATCGTTATTTTCTTCGGAGGCCTCGTTCTCCACCCAGTGCCACGTGTCTCCGAAGGCAGTGCGTGTGTCTCCTGTTGGGAACCGCATCCTGGCGCCCATGGGAGCTCCCTTGGCAGCATGGGCACAATGGCATGGTGAATTTGGCATGCACCCAGGTGGCCATATCACCCAAAGGACACTGATTTTGCCCCCTTGACCATAGTTCTTGCCCATGGCGTGCTTCCCCCAGCTTTGAAGGCTACAGCCTGGGATGTTATTTACCTCCTTTTTGCTGGCCTTGATGCTGGCAACAGAGAAGCACCCCAAAGCTTTGGTGGTTCCCAGATTCCGAGCAGCTATATTAGTTTCCTTCGATTTTCCCACTTTTTAAAAGACCTTATTGAGGGAGGGTATCAAAGGGTAGATACGGTGGTGTTCTCACAAGGGCTGCAAGACTCCAAATTGACTTTGTCTCTGGTTTGCCATACAGCAGGGTGCACATCCCCTGGCATAGGAGGTGGGGTAGCCCCAATCTCAGGGCCAACTTTTCCAACTGAGCAGTGCCCAGCTGGCCAGAGAGACCTTTTTTCCCACTGTAGCATAAGGCATCATGTCTAGAAAGAGTACGGCTGGGATTTTCCACAACACTTCTGCTTTTAATTAGGGTAAGTGTTGCCGGCCATCTTTGTTTGGGTGTAAAAGCTCACCTGCTTTTAAATATTTCTAAAGCTACCATTAAAACAGCCTAAATATAACACGCACACAGTTGCATCTTGGGATGAATAAATTATGTGTCCCGAATGAGAGAATGAATGTATGTGTGAGACAGAATGTGAGAGTGGGTGGAAGCACTCATATGGTGTGTGTGGGGGGTGCATAATTAAGCACAATGAGGCGATACAAAAGACCAGACTGGTGGTAATTGCCGAGGTGAACGCTGCAAGTATTGGCAGCACCCGGGCTTCTGAGCCTGGGGCAAGAGCAGAGGGAAGGGCAGGAGGAGGATGCTGAGAGCCTGGCGCTGCGATGTGGTACAGGGTCTGGCTGTTGAAGGGATGGAGAGGGCACATCCCAGCATATGAGTTTATGAAGGAGGGAGCAAAAATCAGCGCCAAGCCATTGCTCCCAGTGAAGAGTGAATATCACTGTCTATCCAGCTATCCCTGTTCCCAGCCAGCTGGACACCTCACCCTTTCACTGCATTTATCCTCACAACTTTATCGGGAGGTAGCGAAGCGCTATCCGTTGCTCCTGCCCAACAGGAGCGGAGGAGCCCCAGCCTCCATGCGTGAAGGCAACTGGAGCTCGGCCAATGGCTGCAGATCTCGAGG